CCCTGGAACTGGAGTTACGGACAGTTGTTAGCTGCCATGTGGGTGCTGGGATTTGAACCCGGGTCTTCTGCAAGAACAGTCAGTGTTCTTAACCACTGAGCCATCTCTCCAGCCCTGGTTTTCTAACCTTTTCATTAAAAGTTTTAAGGGGAAAAAAGGCAGAAGGCCAACTTGAAACATCACATTTTAAAAAAATATTCTGTTTTCATTATAAAGATGTTCTCAATCCCAATAGGAAGAAGCCATGGAATCTCACCCCAGAATATGAGGTTTTTGTGTATTTAGCCTCCACAGTATGACTGTGGCAGTGACACTGGTGCTGTCACTTCACACAGCTGTAAAATAGCATTTTTATGATTCTGGATCCAAATTATTTTCCCCAGTTTACTGTTTGTTTGCAAGCAGGTTTTTCATTATACTATGTAAACTTCAAAATTATGTTCTTTAAGTTTGCTTTGGAATAATTTTGGACATACAGTAAAGTTGCAAAGATGCCTCAGAAAATTCTTAGATACCTGATGACCCAGTTTCATGGAAACTAATATTTATATACAATGGTACATTTGTTCAAACTGAAGAATTAACACTAGCACATTTCTGTTAACTACAGATTTTTGTACTAAATCCTTTATCTGTTCCAGGATCTAATCAAAGACAGCATTGCAACCAGCATAGCCATCATGTTCGATAGCTGCATAAGAACCAAATTTGCTTAAATATAGAAGCTAGGAAAAGCTGATGTTCTACAAGTACAAAGGAGAAGTGCTAGAGGCAAGGAGAGCAAGGCCTGGAACAGGGCCGGGAACAGACAGGCAGGCTGGGTAAGGGTTAGGTGTTACAGCACAGCAGGCTGGGTAAGGGTTAGGTGTTACAGCACAGCAGGCTGGGTAAGGGTTAGGAGCTACAGCACAGCAGGCTGGGTAAGGGTTAGGAGCTACAGCACAGCAGGCTGGGTAAGGGTTAGGTGCTACAGCACAGCAGGCTGGGTAAGGGTTAGGTGCTACAGCACAGCAGGCTGGGTAAGGGTTAGGTGTTACAGCACAGCAGGCTGGGTAAGGGTTAGGAGCTACAGCACAGCAGGCTGGGTAAGGGTTAGGTGTTACAGCACAGCAGGCTGGGTAAGGGTTAGGAGCTACAGCACAGCAGGCTGGGTAAGGGTTAGGTGGTACAGCACAGCAGGCTGGGTAAGGGTTAGGAGCTACAGCACAGCAGGCTGGGTAAGGGTTAGGAGCTACAGCACAGCAGGCTGGGTAAGGGTTAGGTGCTACAGCACAGCAGGCTGGGTAAGGGTTAGGTGCTACAGCACAGCAGGCTGGGTAAGGGTTAGGTGTTACAGCACAGCAGGGTGATTAGAGCTTACAGTTTATTGCAAATCTTATCCGGAATACAATAAATTGGAAGTTTTATGACACAAATAAGTGTTCCAGTGGTGGTGCTTGCTTATGTCCCAGTGCTGGGGATGCCAAAAAGCAGGAGGATCACAAGTTTCAAGCCCCCTGATCTACACAGTGAAAACATCTTTAAAAAAAAAAAAATGGGCTGGAGAGATGGCTCAACAGTTCAGAACACTGGTTGTTCTTGCAGGAGACCTGGGTTCGATTCCCAGCACCCACATGGCAGCTAACAACTGGACAGCCTCTTCTGCCCTCCACGGGCATTGCATGGCATGGGTGCACTTACCTACATGCAGGCAATACACATAAAAATATAAAAATAAAAATATTTTTTAAAAACTTTATTTTAATCATTGACCTACAGTTGTCCATATTTATGGGATGCAGTTATAATTTGAGTACAATGTGTAATGATCAAATCTGAGTAATTAGCATTTCCTTCTGCTTTTTTAAAACAAAGACCATGGCCACATTCACAGCAGAAATAACTGTTCTCGCTGTAAATATTTAATCAGTAGGTGGTTAACTTTAGTACTAAAAACTTGCCCAGGGGCTCTTTGAAAACAGGCTGCTTACCTCAACCACTCGTATGTCAGCTGTGTAACATGCCAAGGCCTTGCACTTTCCACACAGCAGTTTCTTATTTTCTCTGTCAGGGACAGGTTGTGGTTTGTGTTGACTATCTCTGGTTAATTTTTCATCGGTCTGTATACAGCGAACCTACGTACCAAAAGAAAGGTCTCATAAATGAGTACAACTATTAGCACGCACACACACACACACACACACACCTGCCACTCAATGCGCAACTCCCATAAGCATACAATACTTATATTATTTAGTCTGTAAAAATAAATTTCATATTTTCTTTGTTTCTCCTAACTCTTTCTTAATCTATGTTAACTGTAGCCTCCAAATGGTCTTTCAGTTACTAACTCAGACATGCCCATAAAATCATCATGTGGGCTGTGCTTTCTACTTCACTGGTTGGCAGAACTTGAAAAATCCTTCACAAATAGACACACAGTCTGAATGTTTCAAGCAAAAGCCAAAGGAATGGAACAGGAGGGGAGCAACCCTCCCACTGTCTGAAATCTTCCTCCCTTCGACCATGGACGATATTGCTGAATCCCGGTATAGTTCAAAGTACACATCCTCGAAGTCCACATCAGGCAGCTGTATTCTAAGTCAAAATGTAGGCTTTGGCTGAGTACAGTAAGAACCATGGCCATTACATTCCAACCAAATACAAGACTATGACGAGTGGAGAGGAATCAGACCATCCAGAAGCCCTAGGATGCCAGGAGTAACACAATGGTGGGTTCCCTGGGTTTCTGTTCATCTGATATGTTCAGACTTGGAGCTGAGGAAGGTGACATCCTGAAATGCCCATGGGTGGAGACAAAGTTCAGTGCCTGAATGACTAGGACTTAACATGTATGGCTGAATACATGAGGTTCGGTGAGGGGATGGGGGCAGCATGGATGGGGGAGGAGGGTCTAAATTTGATTAAAAACTGTTGTATGAAATTATAAAACATGTACATATATATGTATACATATATATATAAAGAAAAAAAGTGTCCTTTGAGAGTCTAAAGTTTTAAACAATAGCTGCTCTGCTCCCCCACCCTGTGGTCCAACCCCCTGTGCCAGCACAGGCCAAGAGGGAACCTGGATTTCTACCTTATAGAGCTGTAATTGGGCCTCATTTAGCAGGATGGAGGTGGGATCGCCAGGCCTCTGGATAGGTAACATTTTCCCACACACACTTGCCCACGTAAGTGTCTGTAAGACCATGTGGGGAGATAGAATTCTCACCTCCACCCAGTAGTGACAAGTAGGCTGCTCCACTTTGCTCATCTCAACAGAGGCTGAACTAAAACCCTGATGTCGCTCCACAGACAGTGATGAGAAAGCAGCCCACTTCCTGGCCAGAGCCAAGTCAGAGGCAAGCAAATGCAGAAGTCCTTTCAGGTACCTTTTGTTGCTGTGGCAAAACACCATGACCCAAAGCAACTTACAGAACAGTTTATTTTGGCTTATGGTTCCAGAGGGAGAGTCCATAATGGCAGGGGAGGCAGCAATGGGCATTGGAGGTGAAGCTGAGGACTCATCTTCAGCCATGCAGGAAGCACAGGATGAAAGGGAAGTGGGGTGAGACTGCAGACTCTCAGCCACCCCCAGTGACATCCTTCCTCCAGCAAGGCTCCATGTCCTAAACAAGCCATAACCTCCCCAAACAAGTCTACCAACTGGGACCAAGTGTTCAAGTACCTGAGCCTGTGAGGGACAGTTCTCATTCAAACCACCACAGCGAAATAAGGTTCAGAGTCAAACAAGAATGTTTCAAACATCACTGTTCATACCATGAAACAGGAAGACCTCAAATTGAATGGAAAAGTGACAACCAAAGGATTCTAACACTGAAATGATGAGATGTTTGAATGATGTGGCAAGGATTTTTAACAGCCATAATAAAGATGCTTCAATAAACAAATATGTTTGAATTATGAAAAAATACAAAAGTTCACAATGACCAGAGTTAAAAGTTCACAGTACACTGGAGGGGACCAAAGAGCAACTGTGAACTGAAAAAATAAAATAGAACAAGTGAATAAATGCCAACTGAACAACAAAAAGAAAACAGATTGGAAAAAACAAATAGAATCTCAGGGTCATGTAGGGGGAAAAAAATCTTAACATTTATGTCATTGGAGTCCAGAAAGTAAAGAATAGGATTTAGAAAGTCAAATAATGGATGAACAATTCTGAAATGTAACAAGCAACATAATCTCTGGGAAGCCAAACAAACCCCACACTGGATCAAACAAAGAAATTCACTCTAAGGTGCATTAAAATTAAACTTCTGGGAGAAGAAAAAAATCTTGACAGGAGCCAGAGAAAAATGAACACCTTGTCAGGCGTTGTGCTGCGTGCCTTTAATCCAGCAGAGGAACCCTGTGAGATCGAGGCCAGCCTGGTCTACAGCGTGAGTCCGGCCAGCTGGGGCTACTCCTCAGAAACCACACAGGCCACAGTCACAAGGGGGTTGTACAATTACTCCTCAGATGTTAAGGAACTGTCACCCTAGAACCCTTTGCCCATCAAATCTTTCAAAAAATTAAGGGGAAATCAAAGCATTCTCAGAAGAAGGAAACTAGAGTCTGCTTGCCATCGCATCTACCCTACAATGAATGACTCTCTGGATGTGTAACAATCCCATCTAAAATTTTTTTTTGTCTTTGTAAGTAAAATGGGGAGAAGGGTGGTGGTACCCGGGTGTGGTAGTATATACCTACAATCCTAGCACTTGGGAGGTAGAGATAGGAGGATCAAGTGTTCAAGGTCATCCTCAGCTACATAAGTGAGTTTGAAGCCACCTTGAGCTCTACTGAGATCTCTGTCTCAAAAAGAAAAGGTGTGTGGGGTTATGTTCCTGTTTTCAAGACAGGGTTTCACTACTGTGAAACCATTATGTACTTCATTATTTCCTTTGGATAAATTTCTAGAATAGAAATTTAGGGTTACATGATAATATATTTCTTTATGAGACATTTTAGTATTAGCTTCTTGTTTTTAAGATAGGAACCTAATCACTACTTCAGGAAGGCCAGAGATTGGGGGAATGTGATAGAAAAGAGTAAAGATGTAAACTTTCCCCTTAGGTATCCAATTATTTTTTCAATCACATATCTTATATATTAAAATTCAATTAAATAATCTCAAGTATCTTAAATGTAATATTAACAATAGCTATAAAGCCTAATAAGTTAACGCTATTACTACCGTATTTAAAACTTTATATTTTAAGTAAAGATCAGTAAAGATGTTCAATCAAAATAGTACATCAGTAGCACAGTACCCCCCACACACACACACACATACACAAATGGAAGGCAATTCTCTCCTTCCACTTTGTGGGTTCTGGGGATCAAACTTAGGTCATCAGGCTTGGTAGTAAGTGCCCCCCAACCCCCACCCCAGCAAACAGGTAGAGAAAGTAACTGGAGCCCTGACTGCATACAACTGTGTAGACATTCTTCATTCAAAAGGAGTTTTCAAGTCCTATCTTGGCCCCATAAGGAAGGGAAAACAGGCTTCTTCAATTTGATTTCAGATTATACTTTATGGCATTTATAACCAGAACTACTCTAAATACCCTCTTTACCTTAGTTCTCAGCATGAACTCTACCATATACTGCTTCCATCATGGAGATGAGTTCTTAGATACCCCTGGACTATACCTGGCAAGCTGCTGTAGTAACCAAAGAATTCCCTAGGGCACAGCACTCTAGAGATGGTGGTACATAGGGCAATGGACAGCATAGCTGGGGTGCTGGAGAAGAAGGGTACAGCCTTCCAGAAAACTGCTCTCTAAAGTTCCCAACATCTTCCTTCCCTTCCTCCCATTAAAGCCTATTGAAGGACTCAAGTGTTTAAATCCAACACCAGAGACCTCGTTAAGTGGCACAAGAGGGGATAAGGTTTCACCTCAAGAACCATATTCCTTTTAAGTTGCATACTAAGTGATGGGGTTTGTGGCATTTCACACGTCTGTCATTACACTTCATTCTTATTCATCCCCTCCTCCACTGAGCCCTCCTATCACCAAGTTCCCCCATAACTCCTCTTGCTGGTCCCCTTTCTCACCCCCATAGAGTCCTCTGCTTTCATATCGCATGAATTCCATCCCTCTCATCCTATCCTGGCCCTTGAAACAGAACAAACAGGCTGGTCACCAAGACTCGGCCTTCCAGCTGCCTCCAAATGACCAGCAGGCACTAAGACCTGGCGATCCTCAGCCAAGTTCCCTCTTTCATACATCTGGTCGTGTTCTAACGTGGACCTTAGGCGAAACTCTAATGCTAAGGCACCCTAACTCAGCAGATAGTTAACCCAGTTTTCTTCTTACCCGACTCCTGGTCCAGGTAGCCTCCACAAAAGCACATCTACCTGTGGTCTCACCGTCGCCTTCCCCAATGGACTCCCTATACTGTTTCTATCCCATGGGAGTATAAGTTATGCCATGTTTATTAAAACTCAGTATAGTCATCCTCTTGGCACAGTGGCAGCACAACAGCCTCATAAAACTCAATATGATTTTAAAGTCTTACTTTAGTCTACAAAATGGGAAGATGGGTTAGCAAAAAGCAAACTATCAGTAAGCTTAAAAAACAAATCAAAGCTTTCTCTCATTAAAAATATGAAGGCATGGTGGTGCACACCTTTAATCCCAGCACTCAGGAAGAAGAGGTAGGCAGATCTCACATTAAAGCCAGCCTGGTCTACATAGTGAATTTCAGGCCAGCTGGGGCTACAGGGAGACCCTGTCTCAAAAATCCAAAAACAAAATAGAAAACTTTAGGAAGTTTGTTTTAAAGTGAGTAAACATTGACATAAAGTTGTAATTTTGTCCAAAAATACGGACAATTGTTTTAGATCATTGTTTCTTGGTGCCTTTTCTAGCATAGATATTGTAACTTTTTAAGATTATGCCCACTATGGAGCTAGTCTACTGAGTGGTGGAGTTGATCTTCACAATCAAACTATGCTTCAAGATATAAACTAGCAACAGTATTTTTTAAGTACAAATTTTATTTCAGGTGCTTTGGAAGCAAGACACACCTGTCATTTTATCCTCACAGCTGTCCAGGAGGTTAAAAAACATTATTTTCTCAACTTTGCAAACAAGAAGTTTAATACTTTAAAAGATAGAGTAGGGGCTGGGGAGATAACTCAGTGGATAAAGTGCCCACCATATAAGCATGGGACCTGAGTTTGAACCCCTGGAGCCCATGTGAAGCCAGGCAAAACAGCATGTTTCTCTAACCCCAGTACCGGCAGTTCAGGGGTGGGGACTCAGAGACCAAAGAATCCCCAGAGCTCTCTGGCAGGCCAGTCTAGCCAAAATGCCAAGCTCCAGGGTCAGTGAGAGACTATGTCTCAAAAACAGAATACAAGATACCTAACGTCAACCTCAGCTTCCACACATACATGTATGGGTGAGCACACCCATACAAACACTTGGACACACACACACATACACCATAAACATACACATAATAACCACAATAATAATAAGAAATCAGAGTATCTGCCTGAGGTCATACTGTAAGTGACAGAATAGGGATTCAAATTACGGACTTTAGGAAAAGAACTGTTCCCTAGTCCTGCAAGATTCAATGCTTCCAAAGTGCTGAGGTGAAAAATCTCTGTAAAGGGTCTGGAGAAAGTGTGTAAGCACATGTGCACACTTGCTTGCCTCTGTTTCTTGACCTCCAATCTGATTCGATGCTGCTGTGTTATGGGGGAAATTACAATACAATGAAGGTCATTGCCTCACTGCTGAAAGCTGATCTGAAAAATTTTTTAATTTATGGGAAACTATTATAATTCTAAATTACTTATAAAATGTTTAGATGTACTCAATGCACATATCCAGTGTGTGTACACTTGATTTCCATATACACAATACACTTAATTTTTGCAACAGGCTGATCTGAATAAGCACTCCATTCCAGGCTTTAACAGTGTCTGCGGTGGCCTAGGAGCTGCTCTCTGAGAACATTGAATGGCAGAGAGATTTGACAAAGTAGAGCTGTGTCTTGTAATGTCAGGTTGTATGTAGTCCGCAGCATAAACTCAGTTTACCTTTTAGGTCTGAAAACAGGTTGTCAGTTATTACCCTGAATAAATTATATTTTTATCTCATTGACACTTGAAAACAATAAATTTAATGCTCACTGCAGGACAGAAGCTTAAACAGAATTTCATTGCACGGATCAAACATTCTGAGCTACATAATAAAAGGTAGCCCAGTGCAGCGGCACACACCTGCAATCCCAGCATTTAAAGGTGTCTTAGCACAAGGGTGAGGAGCTCAAGATCGCCCTCAAATATGCAGCACATTGAAGTTCAAGGCAGCCTGAGCTACTCGAGGCCTTGTCTCAAAAAAAAAACATGAATACATGCATGCATGCACACAGACGTGCACATGTACACACACCACACACGTACACATACACATGTGTACACATGCATATATCAAAGGTACCAACCACACTCGCTTCTTATTTCTGTCAGATTCTACAGGAGTGACACGGAGGAAAAGACTCACTGTTTCTGCAAATTTCATCTCATCCCACATCTGAAGTCTTGAAATGGATTCATTCATCATTTTTTCCTTGAACACGTTCACGTTTTCTTTCTCAATCACATCAGCATTACTGGTCAGAAGGAAGCATTTGCTGCCTCTCGCTCTTCCTCTGCCTGTCAGAAAGCATTTGTGTTTTGGATGTAAAACTCTGATGTTATACAAGAGTAAGCACACACAAGGTTAGAAGGGTTCCTAGAACTCAACTTTGGCTCACTGAATTCTACTTTCTAGGAACTGCTCTGTCAAGAGTAGACTCAAATGCAGGTCCCAACCGCATGTTACATATACAGATAAAGCAGAAGTCCACCTTGGGCTAGCTCTCTCAGGGTCTCCAGTGACACAGTGTGGTTGGGCAGCCATATTATCTGAAACACCCATTTGAAGATAATCTAACATGAGCCCTCAGTAACGACTCTTTGAGCATTCAAAGATGAATAATGAACAGATCCTCCCGCCAGAGCTTTTAGGTAATGTGGAGAGAGGTTTGCAACCACAGGAAACAGGTAGAAAATAATAAGTGCTATTGCAAAGACAGATATAAAGGGTGACACACATTCCACCAGATTATTCTCATGGATGAATCAGGTGATGTGCAGTGGAGGAAGGGGAGAAGGAAAATGAAAAGCAGCTCTCCATGAGTGATTCCTTCAACAAGCAACGAACAAAGTCAAGTAAATGAGAAGATTGAGGACTCGACCAGAATGCTCAGACCAGAGTGCTCACAGATGTTGCTCAGGAAGGTGATGTGGTAGGTGTTCCTTTGGAAACAAAGGGAAACGGAGGAAAACTCTTGTCCACATGAGACCAAAGGGCTCTGGAATACAGGGAGCCACCAGCCCCCTTGAAAGGTCACTTTCTGACTGCCAAAGCCTCAGCTTTAGCAGATAGTGTCCTTTCATAAATATAATGCTAAGCAAGCAAGCATATCATTCTGAAGAAGAATCACAACTGTGGCAAGACTATAACCTCCCAATCCTGACCAAGTAAGTCAGCTTTTGAACCAACCCCAGAGTCCACTGTGCCATCAATCACATATTTATATAGTTCAGTAAAGGGGAAAGGACAAAGATACCACAAGCCGGCAAAAGGGGAACCAGGTAGGAATGATGTCAGAGCTGCTCTCACCTCGGGTTTGGATCATTTTGATGACATTGCCCACATATTCATACAGGATGACCAGATTGCACTGAGCAATGTCAATGCCTTCATCAGCAACCGAGGTGGCAATCAGAATATTATCTCCACTGGCTCTGAATGTTTCCAGTGCACACTTCTGTGCTGGGTGTGTCATTCCTGTGTCAGATAAGGAGGATGCTGTTCAATTCACTAACGAGAGGACTCTCCCCTTGAAAAACTAGCTACGAATCATGGAGCATTTCTACATGCTGCATGCTCTGGTGGGTGCTTTGACGTCATGATCTCCCAGCAGTGCTAGGCAGTGCGATCCATTCCTATGCCTTTTTTTTTGTTTGTTTGTTTGTTTGTTTTGTTTTGTTTTTGCTTGTTTATTACTGTTGTATAGCTGACATCTTTATAGCCACTACCTCATTAGAACTTCACACACTCTTTGAGATAACAGTGTTGACTCTTTGTAGATAGGCTTAACTCTAGGACCCCGTGTGTGCTATTGGGGTATTTGTTCCCCACTTGTTCTCTAAGAATTGTTCTCTGCCAGACCCTCAGGGATGAAACTCTAGAGTGATGCAGTTCTACTGTGACTATCTTTCACCAAGCTGTTTCCTACTCTTGGATGGGGCTCGTGGCTAAATTCTCACTCGGCATACAGACAGAAGTGATACGCGTCTCTTCCAAACCTGAGTCCTAAAAACTGTCCATACTCAGTTCTCCTCATCAGTGGTCTAAGATGGGTTAGAGTAAAGGATCCAGAGACCCCAGGGTCCTTAAAGAGAAGTACATAGAGCAAAGCCCCCAACTTACCTACCTTCACATAGACAGCAATGTAAGTAAACAGTAACCTTTCTTGTGTTATGCCCTTGGGAACTTAAAGGATTAAGTCACTCTTATTTGTACAGACACTGTTTCCTTGGCTACAGCTACAGGGTTGAAATCAGCACTTAACCATGTAGGGCTCCCTTGGAACCTAAACTTGGTGTATGGAGACAGGTTGTAGACTAATAAGGTCTAAAGTTGTGAGAGAAGTAGAGGATGTAACTTATAAAGGGAAAGGAGTGAAACCAGGTGACTTTCCAGTTAAACTGTTACGAGCCCAAGTGCATGCCCTGGTCATGGGCTCTACACAGCACTGATCATCTCTGCAGCTGGACCCCTCTACTTTGAATAGCCTAAGTGGATTGCTGTTAACTGGGGTGAAAAACAAGGCCTGGACTAAGACAGCCACACACTGGAAGGCTGAACTCAAATGTTCTGAATATGGAGTGAAGCTGGGGAGTGTTCAGGTGATCATGGCAACACCCAAAATGGAGTTTTAATGGACACATTTATGTTCAGACTTTAGGGGTCCCAAAGACCTACATACATTGAATATGGCCTTCTGATTTCTAATTAATTCTTCATAGAGAAAACCCAACCCAAGCAGAAGGAGACTATCTTGCTCTCCTTTACCTGGCTGGCAGTCAGATCCCAGTTTGTAGATGACCTTTCCAGGTTTAGGAAATAAATATATATGTGTATATATATATTTCATATATATGTATCTATAACTTGCCTTTTCTTTACTCTGTTAAAGATATATGCATCTAAAGTTACATATGTTCCTTTTGAATTCACATACTCTCAAAACCAAAAGTCAAACAACTGAAATATACTATTAAAAGGATCTGTATGCAGCCAATAACTAAAATCTAATATATATTGAGTCTTGCCATGTGTCAGGCATTGTCTTAAATTGGTTTTCTGTATAGGCTGGATAGTAAATATGTTGGGTGTCATAAACCTTGCTGTCATAACAATTCACCACTGCCATTATGGCACAAAAGGAGCCTGGAAAGTACATGAATGAGCATGCCTGGGTTCCAACAGAAACCATTTTATAGACACTTCAATTTGAAATTCACACACATATATCTTAAAATATTTTTTTAAACCATTTAGGAAATGTAAAGGTGGGGCTGGAGAGATGGCTCAGGACCCGGGTCCTCTGCAAGAGCAGTGAGTGCTCTTGACTGCTGAGCCATCTCTCCAGCCCCTCTAAACTGTTCTTGATGTTCCCTTCCTGATAACTGCCCTCCAATCATATTTGCATTGCCAGCCACACTGCCTAAGTCAATTCATTTTTAAGAAATCTCTGTGTACTCTATACACATACACACTACATATACGTAGTCTCCTAGCAGTTTTATTTCTACTGATGATCTCTGACTGATAGAAGCATTAAAAAGTTCTGAATAAGGACGTGGTGGCGCACGCCTTTAACCCAGCACCCGGGAGGCAGAGGCAGGCGGATCTCTGTGAGTTCAAGGTCAGCCTGGTCTAATAGTGAGTTCCAGGACAGCTGGGGCTACAGGGAGACCCTGTCTCAAAAGACCAAAAAAAAAAAAGGTTATGAATATGGAATAGTGTATGTACATAGTATACTAAATCTAATTCATTATACGTAAGTACCTGTTGCCTGGTTTGTTTTGCCACGTCCAGTCAATATGCCAGGCTTTAGAAAACTGAGTGCAGAATTTTCTTCAATCCATTTCTTTAAAGCCTAAAATGAAAGCAATAATCAGCTGAGCAGTATTTGTAAACTTGAAACCTTCTTTAAATTTTAAAGTTATTAAATTGAATTTATTTAATTAAAGTTATTAATTCAATATTGAAATATCTACAAAAAGAAAACTTGTGAATATACAGATATATTTCAGACTGATAAACCTTAAATTCCATGCAATAATTAATTCTAGTGGTATAGAATTCTGTGGTTTATTACGGTTTAATTTCTGAGCTATTTTAAGCAATTAAATATGGTTCAGAATAGTGGGTACAAAGAATAAGTGAATTCAGAGATGGGCATGGTGGTGCATGCCTTTAATCCCAGCACTTGCAAGGAAGAGGCAGGAGGGGGTCTGTGAGATTAAGGCTAGTATGGTCTACAGAGTGAGTTCCAGCAGGCCAGCTATGGCTATAGGGAGACCCTGTCACACACAAAAAAAATAAAATAAAATAAAATAAAGTGAATTCAGCGAGGTTTTCAAGATGCAAGATCAATATGTGTCAATCAGTTCTACACCTACATATTAACAATAGAAAACTGCAATTTGAAAATCTGTGTATGTATGTGTATGTGTAGGGGTGTATGTGTGCATGCATGTGTGTGTTGAGGGGTACACATGCATGTGTGTCAGCCTCAGATGTTGTTACTTAGGAACTGTCCATTTTTTCTTTTATGAGACACAGTCTCTCATTGAACTTGGGGATTGCCAATTAGGCTAGGCTGACTGGCTAAGGAGACCCGAAAATCTGCATATCTCGTCTCCCCAGTGCTAGGATTACAAGCAAGCACCAGCATGCCCAGCTATTCACATGGGTGCTAGGGATCAAACTCAGGTCCTCATGCCTGAGCAGCAACTACTTACCAACTGAACTATCTTCCTAGCCCACAACTTGAAAATATTTTAAAGTACAATTTCACAATGGCATCAGAAAACAAGCACAAACATATGCTCAATCCCTATACTAAAAATGACAAAGCACCGATAAAAAAAGACAGCATGATGGGAAGTCTTGAAAGACCTCCACCTCCTACATTCTAAGCCTTGTGTAATTCCCCTCCCCTGAGTATAAAATGACAGTGCTGAAACAGTAAGTCACACATATTCAAAAGAAAAAAAGAAATTATTCAACCATACTTCCCAGTTCATGTAACAATTCAAAAACTTTTAGATGACAACAGAGAAAATCTCTGTGACCTTAAGTAAGCAAAGATATACCATGGACAAAAGGCAGAAAAAACTGGTAAACTAGTTTTAAAACTTCCACGACACAGGGGATGCGGCTGAGGAATTAAAGAGCAAGCAACAGGCTAGAAAAATATTTACAAGACACACATCCCCACAGAGGACCCGCTTTGGTCAGATACAAAAATATTCAAAATCCAATAATAAGATGATAACCCAATTTTTTCCCCAAAGCTGTGGATAAAACTCTTGCGTGTTAGGCAAGTGCTTAGCCACTGAGCTATGTCCAATAATCCAATTTAAAACTGGTTTAAAAATCTGAATAAATACCCCCTATGAAAGATGATAACTAATAGGCATATAACAGATATTCAGTCATACTTATTAAATGCAAATCAAAATCTATGTAACGGTTAGAAGTTAAATTTTGACTGACAGTCTTAGAAAGGATGAAGTGTCCATTCTATGGTACCAAGACGATTAAGACAGTGAGGTATTAGTGCAAGAATAAACAAACAGGTAATCAAAGCAGACCCACACATGTATGGACAGTCAGTGAAGAAAGGACAGCCTTTTCAATAAAGTAGGGCCGATCTGTTGCACACATAAAAGCTTACATCGACAAGTGCTCTGGTTTTCACGAAAAGGATGGTTTTTGTCTCTGGATTTAAGTGGTACTCTTCTTGTAAGATCAAGTAGAGGTCTTTGAGTTTAGGATTCTCATTGCTGGGATCCACGGATACCTTTTCTAGCTCCTCCAGCTTTTCTGCAAATCGGGAACATTTTATAAAAGGCCGATAAATTTTAAAAATATAGAACAAACCATGATCTTTGCTTCAAACCATTAACATCTCAGTTATTTACCAGAATTTTCTGAGTAATAACCAAGAAATTAAATTGGTACATCCTTTTAGAAAGGTAAACAGTATAAAGTTTACATATTCTTTGATGCAGTGATTCTCCATCTAGGAATTTGACACACGGTTACATCTAGAAAACTGTGAAGATTCCAAGGATACTCAGTGAGACTGTTCAGAATATAAAGGATACATAGAAAACACCCTAAATGCTGAGTAATGGAAAGTCAGTTCAATAGATCACAGGCTGTATGTTTCATATGAATACCATGTGGTTGTTAAAGAATATTAGGTATATGGAAAAAGATCTATATGGAAAAGACTATACATTTGATATAAATACAATGTGGTTGCTAAAATTAAAGATATATAAATTGCAATTATTTTAAGTTAAAAACCAAAGTATAGAACATTGTGCCCTGTATCATTCTGTCCTATCATCACACACACACACACACACACACACACACACACACACACACAATGACAGTGTACTAGAAATTGATTATATCAGACTATGACAGTCAATTATTAACCTCTTGAGACTTGTGTGACCTGGTTTTAAATACAATCATTATTAAAAATTTGATTCTCTAACTTTGTAACTCAGTGGCTTATATTAAAAACAAATGTAATAAATAGACCACATTCACTGTTTCTTAATTATTTTATTATATTTTATTATTTATGCTCTTGAGTTGCTATATGTGTATATGTATGTACCTGTTGCATACAAACAGTAAAAATATTAGAGAACAGTGTGTTACTGTTCATCTTTTTTGTAGTAGTTCAATCAGATGGTGGTGGTTTGCAGTCAGTTATAGGGAAATCAACATAATGCTTGCTTGATCCTTTGTTGACAGTCTAGACTTGTGATTTTATCAATTCTGTTTTATCAATCATATATCAATGCAAAAATGCTTTCCCAGTATTTGAAAAATATAATCTAACTCAGCAAAAAGCTGCTCCAATCGTTGAGAAGCAAGTGAGCTTCAACACACATCTCTGTTTTTCACTTTCTTACTCCTAGCATTAAGGCACAAAGGCCCCAACGCCACATCAAAACTAGATTTGTTTGGTAGCTGCAATGGTTGGTTGGCTATAAGGGTCCTGCAAAAATCACCAGAAGCATTCTGTGAGACACAAAGGGCTAAAAGAAATTTACAGAAAAGAATCTTTTGTTTATTATTTATAACTTGTGTGCTGTATCCCCATATAAGAAAAATTTATAATAAAATTACATACATATAGGTATACATTTTCCCCAGGGAGCTGTCAAGTGTTTATCAACATGCACATTACTGGTTACACATATGTGTAGTAAATACGTCAGTATAGGTGAAAAAAAAAAAGTACTAACAGTGATTGCCTTTAGGAAAAGTATTTCTTACTATCTTTCCATGTTTTTGGTAGTAATGTGAGGCATTTTTCTCATTCTGTAGAAATCTATATAATGCTTAATCTTCTTAATATCATTAGAACGCATTTTGGTGTTTGAAAGTTAAACAGAACGCCCCTATCTATAACCATGTTGGAAGTACCTGTTTCAAACCCTACTGCTTTTCCTTTGTCCAAATAAAAAGTGGGATAAGCAACAGAATGCTTCCATTGGTGTTGGATTCCATCGTCAAACACTCCTATGTTTTTGTTTGGTTGGCATTAGGGCTTTTGCTTTGATTTGTCTGTAATACTAGGGATTGATGTCAAAGTTTTATGAATGCTAAGCTCCTGCTCTACCACTAAGCTACTTCACAGCCCCAAAGTACAATATCTCAAACCCAGGATAACAGCCTGGGCATCAGCTACTGTACAGATGCTGAGTGTGATGTCCTATGCATGCTGTCTTTCCAGTCACTGGACTCCAGTGGCTTCCACCTCTGAAAACACCCCTCACCTTCAAACCTCCGAGTAAGATCTTGCTCAGTCTCATCAAATGCAGCTGCTCGGACATCCTGGAAGAAGTGTTTTAGGTAATTCAGAGCATCTTTCATCTGGGCATCCTCACTGATTATGAGAGCGTCATTATATTTCTGTTTAAAAGGAAAAGTGCATTTCAATGTTTCCAATGCTTTTATACTCACTATACAGAAGTTCAATCAGCTGTACTTAGCAAGGAATTAGTTCAAAGAAAATATTTCTCTTATAATCCAATTGAGTTTTTAAAGGTTCTATAATAAAACTTCTTAACCAAATGCTGGTTTCTTTTTCTCTCAATTAGCTAGAAATATTAATTAGGTAGAAACACTTTGGATTCTAGAATTCTACCTTGGAAAAGGAGAAAAAGCATATCACAAGACACAAAAGCAAATCAACATTTGACATTTGCCTGCATCATAATTCAGGCATTCATTCACCTTAAGTTTCCAAGTCAGAACTGAACTGCACATGTGCCTGGCAGAAAAATGGCCTTCACCATGTACAGCAAAAGGCCATGGCGGGCATTAGAATCCCACAACAATATACCATTGGATATATTTTTAAATAGTTTTCATGGCATAGCAAGCAGAGGCGAGGTTGTTACTGGTATTCCTTCCTTCCAGGTTAACCCACTTTACAAGTTCTAAGTATGTGGCTTTACTGAAAGTAAGACCACACGTGTGTCAGGACAAGGCAACAGGAGCCACTGATTACATTTCAAAGATGGCGGTCACTGAGCACATATCTAAATGGTGCTGTTTCATCATCACCCAGCTATCTCCAAAGCCATCATCACTCAGCTTTCTGGAAAGCCAGAGCATGGCATAGACTCAGACCCTGTGTTTTGGTCTCTGTTTCAGTCTCGTTGACTCACTGCTAAATTTCAGAAAACAAACAAGGCTGATGCTGAGGGGACAATGTCTAGACTTTGCTTCATATGAATTCTCTGTAAAGATCCCTAAATTCATGGTCAGGCTGAGAAGCCGATGCTCTCTGAGCTGCCACAGTGCAGTTCCCCGGGAGGTACCAGGACCAAGGTATGCATGCCTTCAGAGAAGCCACGTACCCGCAAATGTGACGTGTACAGAAACAGCGCTTTACAGATCCTGCTCTCTTCTTCTTTGTCTGGCATCCGAAACACCATGCACGCTTTATGAACGGCAACGATCCACTGTTCATATTTCTGGGTGCCAAATTCTCTATTTTGAATTTGAAATAACATTCCTAGAGATTAAAAAAGTTTTTTCAATCACTTAAGGTTCTAACAAGCCTCCCCTAATTTTCTTTCTCACTCTTTCTAAATAGAATATTTCTCCTGAAATAATCTGGGTTTGTATATGTATGTATATGTATGTCTCCATATATTAACGCATATAATGATTATGTACAGAGTACTATATATCAAAAAAATCAAAAGTTCTTTACATTCATAATTTCATTTAATTTTTATAGCTTCATGAGGTGTTTTTAAAATGAAGATATGGAAGTTCAAATAAACAATTTACCCAAAGTCACACCTTAGTATGTGTAGGGAGGGCAGTAATTCAACCTCAGATGTGTGATGTCCAAGCTCTACAGGTTTAATAAGCCAACAACAAAAGCAGCTCAGAAGTAAAATAATGGACTTGAAAACAAAACAACTTTAAAAATGAAGCTGCAGTAAGAAAAATAAGTCTCAAAAGAGTTTCAGGATATATAGAGGATATATAAAGACGGGAGAGTCCAGACTCAAATCTGCCTATTTGGTTTGCTCTGACGCCAAGCTACCTGATCTCCAGAGCAGCATCCGCAATCCTAACCACAGAGCAGAACCTTAATAGATGTGTGCTATGGATGTATCTGCACGTGCACAGTGAAGCTAAGCCTTCAAACATAGACAGTCTGCAGTGGTCCAGGCTCTAAGCAGGATGCTGGGTGGGGGGCTAAAAAGATGAAGCAGGAACAGCCAGGTCTGTTTTTAAGCAACTAGGTCTATTAGTTTATTATCAGTTTCCTGGGGCTTCTTGTCATAAGCACAGTATAGTAAAGTTCAAAGACAAGAACTACATTATGGGTCTCCCTTCATCCATCCATTTTCAATAAGAGAACATAGGAAGGTACCCAGCAAGTAGCAAGGCCTTGCTTCTTCCCCTAAGCACTCATTCACACACACAGGGTCTCTCTATGTAGCCCAGGCTAGCCTCAAACTCTAGCTCACAAGATACGCTTCTTTCCAAGTTCTGATGCAAAGGAGGCAGCCAGCAATAAAGTAGAAAAACCATCAGGCATTTACTGAACTTGGGTCTGTGTAAAAATAACCTAAGCTATTCAAAAATGAGTAAGTGACAGGATTGGGGCTGGGAAAAGGGTGTGTGTAGGATAGCTAAGATGAGAACAATAAAAACACAGAAATTCACATTACCCTACCACTATCTGCCCATTCCTCTGCCACTTTAGTCAGACCTGTTGTCATCCTGTTCCTGAACCATCTGAGCGCCTCCTAACTGGTCTCTTTACCTCTTGCCTGTTTTCTCCAGTCCATTCCCCACCAAGTAGCTAAGAGGGTTTCCAAAATTGTAGATGAGAATGCATACTATGCCATTAATGGAAAGCCTTTGGAGGATTCATTTAGCCAAACTCTTCCCCTAGTATTATGGTTTAGATACAATTTAAGTGTCTTCCAAATACTCATGTGTCAAAAAGATGGATCCTCTGTACAGTGAGGATAAGAGGTGGGGGCATTTTTCAGAGTGGAGACTAGTGAGAGAACATGAGGTCATTTTAGGCTTTGGTCTTAGAAGGGATTAGTGTGGCTCTCATGGAACCCCAGAGGTGATGCACATCTCAAGAGGAAGCAGGTGGTTGAAGGCTAGTCTACTCTATATACTGAGACCCTATCTCAAAAAAAAAAAAAAAAAAAGAAATGGAAGTGAATTTGGAAGATAATTTAAATATAGTATTCTTAGGTGTGCATGTTCAGATGGATCTGCTTTGGATCTGCAAATGGAAAAAGGTTGAGAGAGAAAAAGTTCTTCTGATTTAGAAGAATAACCTAGAATCAAGACGTCAGCATCTAGGCCAGGTGGCTCATGCCTGTATCCTAGCACTCAGTTTGACTACTGCAAGTTCAAAGCCAGCCTGGTCTACAGAGCAAGTTCAAGGCCATCCAGGGATACACAGCAAGACCTTGTCTCAGAAAAGACCATGAATGGATGGGAATGTGTCAGCCCATATCAGGATATAGTCTTGTCCTTGAGCTAAAAAGACACTAATAAACAATATATGATTATTCCCAAGTGGAGGGGACACCAAAACTGAGATTTATTTCACTGAGTTAGTACAGACTTACCAAGTTCCGCAGAGACATTCTTTGCCAGGTGCTCAGTCTCCTTCATCAGCTGAGATATGATGGACTTAAATGTGTTGGTGGTTCGTGATTCCACTTTCCTGGAAACTAGAGCCGTCAAAGGAAAGTGAGCAGTTTGGGGGAGCACACGTCATATGCAGACATTTCCAAATCTTTCTCTGCCTTTGTTATGTCCTCTGAAAAGCCAGAGGTATGAAGCTCACTAGTAAGTGGTTCAAATCACACAACAAATGCTCCAAAGCTTTGCAACAGCTCCATGCTGCTTCCTGCATTGGTTCAAACATTTGTCTTGCATGATCTATGTCTAGCCCGGCTTCTCACTCTGGCTTTCCTGTCACCTCTGCTCAGGCAGGTCTGTTTTCCTCTTGGTTGTGCAAATGCCATAGTCCAGCTGTATTTCTGTGCTTCCCTGTTCTCCTTCCACACACGCCCCAGCCCCAAAGTATCACATGAGAGTTCTGCAATGCAGGTACAGGCCAGGTACCACGGAGCAAGGGGAGAGGAATATCAGTTTCTCAGGTGGAGGCAGTGTTGTAAAATAGTCATGGGAGAAGGAAGGAGGAAGCAGAAGTCAGGCACAGAGGTCAGCATGGACAGAAGCCTCGAGAGAAAGCATGGAACACATTTGCAGAGCCAGAGGAGCACAAGGCACCTGGGTTTACAGGATGCAGAAGATGAAGCTCAGAAGGCCGGAGGAATCATTTTATAAAGATATGCACAGGTGGGGGCTGGAGAGCTGGCTCAGCGGTTACGAACACTGGCTGTTCTTGCAGAAGACCCTGGTTCGAATCCCAGCACCCACATGGCAGCTAACAACTTACATAGAGAGACCCTGTCTCAAAATACAAACAAATCAATAAAATTTACAAAATAAGATTTCTGGAGCTGGAGTGATGACTCAGAAGAACACCAGTTGCTCTTGCAGAGGACCTGGGTTCAGTTCCCAGCACTTACAAGGTGGTTAACAACTGTCCATAACTCCAGTTCCAGGGGAACTGATGGCCCCTTCTGTCCTCCATTGGACATTGCATGACATGGGTCACTTAACCTACATGCAGGCAATACACTCATACACAAAAAATAAAAATAATAAATAATTTTTTAAAAAAAGATATGCACAAGCATTGCTAGAAAGAACAGACACCTTCTTTACTCTCTCCACAGGTAACTCTCAAAAAGGAACAAACCATGTCCCTCCCATTCCATGTGCTTGCTCTGCCTTTCACACACATGATCTTATGCTCCGTGCAAGAAAAGGCCACGTGTCATTCTATACCTCTCTCTTCCTTCCGTGCTAGTTAGTGAAACCAACAAACACCTTCCAGCCAATCTTATTTTAACACATTCTGGTCTTTTGAGGAGAGTTATAATAAATTCAGATCATTTTGACCACAACTATCAGATACACATCTAAAGAATGGTTAACTTCCGTGTATCCGCCCAGGCATGGCGCTGGACCAGTCTCTAGCTACAAACGTTGCATTTCCTCATTTCTCATCACCTCCGTCACACTGTTGCTAGGCCCATGGAAGGATTTCAGAGACAAAGAGCAGGAACGTGTGTTCTTTTGGGGCACATCTGAGGTTCACCCAGCTCTTAGAAGAAGAGGTCGATTAGTGAGTGGAAAAGATCAGAAATGTGATTGTTTCTGAAGTTTGGAATTAAATATGTTTTACCAAACAGATATAGGGTCACAGTTCATCCAACGTCCCTGAAGCAGAAGTAGGAGAATGTTACAAAATCCCAAGCGACCTGCTGCCGGATGCTGCTTACTTTTCTCAGGTTTGTAAACAACCTGCTCCAGCTCTTCCACGTTGTGTCTGACTGTGGCTATCACGGAGGCATCAAGGGCAGCACAGAGTCTGCAGATGTGAAACATGGCTTCCTCTACGGTTTTGGCATCTCCAACACCAACAGAGGCAGTCAGCCCAACGACCTGTAAGGAGCATGCTGACGTTTGCTTTCTGATTTTCTCTATGACATTGCAAACAGAAAGGTCCTGTCAGGCACAGCACTAATTGAATCTCATCAGCTAGATACTGATCAGCGTGTGAACAGAGAGGAAACCCAGGCAGGCTTCTTTCTCTCTTCTTATCCCTGTATCGCCTATGATGAGGAGAACATCATACTAAAAAGGGAAAGGAATAGCTTCTGTCCTTCAATACATCTATGTCACATTCATTATGTGCGCCTGGAAAGCATCTTCAGCAATCTGTAAAGTCAGGAAAGTCATTTATAGTAACTTCCTCCAATAACCACCCAGTAATTATTGAACGGCTAACTCACCGAAAAGGAAGTTAGTTAACACCAACAATGTTTGAGAAGTGTAAGTTGTGCGTTCCATACTACGTTTGCTTTAACCTGTACTTCCTAAATAAATAATTATTATAGCCAAAGAGTTTCATACAATTCATGGTTTACAACCTCATTTGCGCTCCCGATATGCCAAGGAATCCTCTAGTGTATCCATCTCACTTCTTGCCCCATCACAAACCTCCATCCTCCCAGCCCCCACTCCCATTTCTATACGGATAATTTTCAGCAAACCATCTACTTCACCTATGATCAAGAATTTATATGCCAAGAATTCCCTTTCTTTCCTGTCCCACCTAAGAACCACTCTCTGAAGTGACTCTTCTCACGTGATCAGATGTGGTGCAGCTTGTCTCCTGGCCTAATCCTTTGACTTGCTATCCACACCCGGAGGTCTCCGGGACATCGATATTACAGCAGCTCTACCACTCATTCTGCCTGTCCCATTCTGACTCGTCTACTGTTATTCCCTACCTCACACCCAACACTGAGGCGAGACAGGCATTTTAAAATCCAGCACATACCATGGTCTTTCATACCTTTGTGCCTCTGGACACACAGCACCCTCTTACTAGAAACCATGCAGTTATCCACCTGGCAAAGTCCTGTGACTTTCTGCCTAATCTACTTTCTATTAGGTCTTGCCTTACTTTTATAGCACACATAGGTGCACTTTCAGTTGTGTTCCAGCTCTACTCTTTACCTGTCTCGACAGCATGTCACATGACAAAAAACTGTGACAGCATTATTAAGTATCTTAGCTCCCTGTGCAAATTTAGCTGTTTGAGAGCCAGGACCATATATTTTATATAGGGTATCCCAGTTCCTCAAACAGTGCCCAAGGCACATGAAAGTCCAAGATACATAAAGTTGGCCCTCCATATCCACAAGGTATATATTTGTACATTCAAACAACCATGGATCAAAAATATTTTTTTAGAGAAAAACCTCATAGGCATTAAACATACACAAATTTTCCTCATCATTATTCCCCGAACAATATAGTGTAACAACTATTTACATAAAATTTACATTATACTATGCATTATAAGTAATCTAGAAATGATTTAAAGTACTTAGGAGGAAGTATGTAGAATTTATATGAACGTAATATCATCTTATATAAATGTCTTAAGTATCCTAGATTTTAGAAACTGAGGATGGAGCCTAGAACTAAGCTACCTTGGATACCAAGGGACAACTATTTATTGAATGAATAAATGAAGCAATCAGTCAAAATTGTTCCATGAGTTATACAAACAGACTTAGAACCTGATACGGGCAACCTCAAATGTGACCACAGAGTAACTAAATAGGACGTAGGACGTTTCTGAGAAATCCCTCTGACGACGTACCTGGGGCAGTGGGTCTGCTGAGCCTCCAAGTTTCTGATCAAGGTAACTGAACATGATCTGGTTGTAAGGGTGGTGTTTATTGGTGTTATGGCATTCATCAAATACCATCAAAGTAAAGACAGACACTGACGGAATGGTTCCATTTTTAAGATTGTTCACAAGAATCTGCGGTGTTAGGATGATGATGTCATTGTTCTCGATCGTGTGTTGCACAGGGATACTGTCAGCGTTTGCTCCAGAAATGCCCGCCACTCTGTACCTGAGAAATGACAGAAATTTCCTATTACCAACCATGATGCGAGCAAGGAAACAAAGATGAGATTCTAGACCAGAGCAGCAGTTCACAAAGTTCTCCTCAGTGCAGAAAGAATACATCTTAGGCTAGTGAAGGTCGTCACACAGAGCGACACACAGAGAAGAGATCAGTGAGTACAAGTCAGTAATGACTGGTCACAGCATGTTATTCTTTCAAATCATGAAGGGAAATGAGCTCTTAAAACAGAATATCAAATGAGGTATAAAGTCTAAGAATGATCAACATATCATTTAAATGTCACATTTGCCCATCAAGCCATTTACTCTGTATAGATCAATGAAAAGATTTTAATCCATGAAGAAATTACATCTAGATTATCTAAAAGCCAAATCTAAAATTATTTTTATTTTACATGTATGGAGTATTTTGCTTGCATGTATGTAGGTGCACCCATATTGTGTAATGCCCTCGTAGGCCAGAGAGGGCATCAAATCCCATGGAACTTAAGTTAAGGATGGTTGTGAGCCACCATGTGAATCCAGGCCTTCTGCAAAAGCAGCTAGTGCTTTTAGCCACTGAACCATCTCTCCTTTCCAGGTATTTTTTTTTTTAATCATAGCTTTTAAAGACACAAAATATCGGGGGTTGGAGAGATGGCTCAGTGGTTAAGAGCACCAGTTGCTCTTGCAGAGGGACCCATTTTCGATTCCCAGCATCCAAATGGTGGCTAACAACTGTCCCTAACTCCAGTTCCAGGAGATCCAATGCCGTCTTCTGACCCCCAGCATTGCATGATACAGGTGCACTTACATACATGCAGGCAATACATTCATACACATAAAATAAAAATAATAAAATATTTTTGAAAATTTAAAACACAAAACAACCAGACAAGATGGTGCACACCCATAATTCCAGCACTTGGGAAGTAGAAGTAAGAAAATCAGAGATTCTAGGCTGGCCTCAGCTACATAATGAGTTGGAGGCCACCCTGGGCTACATGAAACTGTCTTAACAAAAACAGAAACAAAAGCCAAATAAAACATATTTGTTATATGAAACTAGAAACAAAAGTTGGGGTGACTATAATGCTTACCCAAGTCTTTCAAAATATCTTGAGAACACGTTTGCCTGCTGCTCGTACACGGGGATGTGATTAGCAAAAAAGACAATCTTTCCTTGCCGTCCATGTGAAAATTGTTTCAGATGATGCTCACAAATGAGGAGTGACACAAAGGTTTTCCCACAGCCTTTATTTAAAGAAAAGAACATAACCACTGTTGGGTGTTCCTCAAAATGGTATTTATTTTTGCTCCTCTAACACCATTGAAATAGAAATAAACCAATCATTTAGATGGACTGATAGCAGCAGAGTTTACACTATGGCTAAAAATTATCAAGCTACTTCCTAGGTACCGTGCATTCGAACAGCCAGAACCAAAATCAAGCTTAAAACATCTTGAGACAATTAATAGGACAGTTTTCCCAATGGCAAATGGAACAAGAAGAGTCTTTAACTTCCTCATTTTATCACAGTACCCAACAAAAGAAAAAACAAGCAAAGAGAGAAATTCTGTAAGCTATGGACTGTAAACTATGACTTACCAGTAGGAGCACATATTATTGTGTTTTTCCCTTTCTTAGCAGGCAGAGCAAGCTCTACTTGGTAATTTCTTGGTTTCAATGGGCTATATGAGTTATTAAAAGGCACTTCTACAATACAAAAGGAACAAAATGACCAAACAGTTAGTGCTCAGAGGAACTACAGCATGACTACAGTTCTGCGGACCTAAGTTCTGATTCTAGGAACAAGGGCCCTGTTTAAAGGGTTTGGAATCTTGCTCTTAGTAATTGTTCTGCCTCCTCAATTGGTTTGAAGAACATACTTTTCTCTCAGTGACAAAGCATCAATAGCAAGAAAGAGGCAGACACAGCAAATTCTTTCTTAGTCATGGACACTTGATAAAGAAAAAGGAAAGCAAGAATGACCTAATTTAGGATATTGCCACATGGAACAAAGTACTGACAACTCCCTCCAGGATGCCTGAAGAATACCAGGCTGTTAATTCCGGATTCTCCAAGCAGCTTCCCAGTGAAGAGGAAGCATGTTGTGTGTCTCTTCAGACTCCCAAATGATATTTTCTTTCAACATAATCAGAAGGTTTAAGAAAATAATCAGAGGCTTTATCTGAATAGCAGGTAATCATACAAAAAAGTTTGGAGTCAGAAAAGACTTTGGAAACCACCTGTGACTGTAACCTCCTTATTGTAAAGAAAGGCAGGATTTCTAAGGAGTTAAGAAAATAAACTTTGCTTAAAAGACATGTAAGGATCTTCATGTCGGCAACCCATATTCATTTTACTCCAGAATGACAGAAACCTAGAACCATTCAGTTGCAGAAGTAATGTATAAGATCTTTTTTTGTTGTTCCGTTATCCTAAAAATCACATTTTTCTCTTAACACTACTTATTATTTATTTTAATTTCCTTCCTGATAGTCTTTTGTAAATAACTTTTTATTATGGCACTTTATACAACCAGGAGTTCTCTTTATCACGAAAGGAAGTGTCAAAAAACATTAGGAGGCTTCCTGGGAAGACAGCACACCTGTATGGCACCACAGGGAAAAGGAGAGGATGCCATTACTCTTGGAGGATGGCAGCCCTCCTTGAGCTCTCCTGTAGAAAGTGCAGGCTGGATCTCAGCCAGGCATGCTACACATCTCATCTATACACCTGAACAGCCTTCAGGGCAGTCCGGGGAGCTTGGAAGGGAGCTGAGCAGGAGGCTCATAAACAGAAGTATTCTTCCGAAGAGCAAGGCTGTAAGAGTTTCATAGAAACTGCAGTTCTTCACCTTTCAGATGAAGACTTGTACACACATTCTTTACAACAAGATTTTAAAAAGAGGGTAATCAATCAAGCAACAGAAACCAGAAAGAAGACAATAGCATCTCTAATTAGAAGCATCTATTTCTACACAAATTCTCTTTCTGGTCTTCATTTTCCTCTTAAAACCCTTTTCAAAATGCTACACTGCACTGGAGAAGCATCGATATGGAAAACAAGCGGGGTGGGGTACCTGAAGGTAGAAGGGAATTCGCACTAAAGTTCTGGCTCTCTGGCTCTTCCTGTATGAAAATCTGTATGTTGGATATTTCCATTCCATCATCTTCAACAGCTTTAGCTTCAATATTTCTTATACCTTTGTGAGACAAAAAACAACTTAGAACCTTAATAGAACTTGATTATGTTTTTAGTTGTGAAAGCCCCACATCATAGCACTAAAAACTCTAAATTTCCATTAAGAGCCCTTAC